GGCAGTTCTATTATTCTGGGTTTTCTTCCTGAACAGATAATATGAACTCCAGTGTGTTTTGGTTATTTATTGTGTTTAGTAGTGGATTTAGCGAGAATCATGTGTTTAGGTATATAGATGCAGAGTGTGCATCTAGTCAGAATAGCTTAGGGTTCATACGTAGTAACAGCGAAGGCCAGCTGTTCACTACACTGAGGGCCAGTGGATGTAGCATGGCCAATGTGAAGCTGTATGTGTGTCACTACTTGCGTGCTGGCTGGATATGGAGGGACACGGAAGGCTTAAAGACTTGCCTGTAGCGTTGGTTTATGCAGCAAAAACGGGGGTGCTTGTGCATGCACGCAAGGTTGCCTTGCTGCAGTCCCTGCAGCGAGGGGCGTTGCAACGCATGTTAGGCCTCTGCCAATGCGCCGGCTCCAGGCCCTTGGGTAGCTGAGCTCAAGCCGCCTGTGAACTGGAGAGCTAGCTACAAACGTTCTCGAAAATATTTTCTCAATTTTTTCGGTTCTACGACACCGCACGACCGTCCTCGAACATGACCGCGGATCCGCGTTAGGCATTGCCTGTCCGAAGGCAGCACAGGAAGAATAAGTGGGCCTCAGTAGGTTTCGGGCACGCAAACACAAATGGTCAATATGTGCCTATAGAGATAGTGCATGCAGCAAAAAGGTTTGGCTGTGTTTGCATGTGAGACTGTTTTGCCCCATTAGTTGCTGGGGTCTTGCCGGGGATCTCAAGGTGTACCTAAATGATTTCAAGCTGAAACGTCGAAATTCTAACTCCTAGAAACGTCTTGATGAAAACTACTTCATATTTTCTACAATGGAAACGAAAATAAGCCATGTCAACAAACGAGCGGGGAGCCGTTGGTGAGTACAACCAAATACGAGACTGACAGCTAAGCATACTGGAGCACTACTCCGATAGGCGTGCAGGCCGACGAGCAACCTGGAAGTTAGTCACAATAAGAAACTTTTTTTGAGAAGCACAGTTCTTGCGGATATCCGCTAGGGGAGCCATAGCCGGGGCCGCGCCGAGCAGTCAGGGCGCCAGCTTGACTAGCTACTCGTCATTGAGCCGCGGGCGACCCGTTGAGCTTTTCTGTTTGGCTACTGATACTAACGGATTGTCCGATGATCGAGTCGTGTGGTGTGAAATCTCATTCACCTCTGTGTTACTAACTAAAAGTGCCGCTGTCTCTAAGACAACTTACGCTACCACCCCACTGCAGTGTGCCGTACTACACTGGCACGGGCAAAAAAATTCCTTATGCCGAGAACCACAAGGTGACATTTTCTTTTAGAGGACTGAGTTCCTTAACAATGGAGTGTTCTGTCCTATAATGTATGGACAAGTAGCTCGCTGCATAGGGACAGATATTCATCTATTGTAGTCAGTTGCGGAATCGCTTGTAGGGGCCGATCAGGCCTTGGCTTGCTACACTAGCTGTTTGCTCGCTTTCGCAGTTTCTGAGGTTACGTTTCGCCCATCAAGGAAATCCTAAGGGAGTCATTCTGCAAACGGTGAGCAGCAGAAACTAAATACATAACGCAGCAGCAGCAGCAACGGCAGCAGCCATCGCCGTCGCTATTGCAACAGGAGCAATAGAAGCAGCAACAACAACCGCAGCAGCAGCAGCAGTAACAGTGGCGGCAGCAGCAGTAGCAACGACATTGCCTGCGGGGCCGTGAAAGACTTCCTAAGGCCCTCCAATGCCTTTGGGCTCACCCCGCATCCCTTGGGGGCCCCTAATGCACGCCTATGGCATTGGCGGGACCCCTGTGGCCATAGGGGCCTCCCTTTCGCTGTGGAGGCCTCCTATGTGCCATTTGGGGCCCCTAAGGAGGTAGTGCGTTGTCGGGGGGCTCCTGGTGATTGCAGTCTCACAACGGGGATTTTTTGTGCTGCTGAGGCAGTGATGTTGCTTCGAAGGCCTCTCCATCGCCCCTAGGAAGCACCAGCAGCAGCAGCAGGAAGCGCAGGAAGGTGTGCGACCCCCGGCAAGGAGAACATGCAGAAAAAGATGCACCAAATTGCCCATCAAATATGTTAAGACCGCTGTTGCTGCCCTTGCTGTTGTTGTTGCTGCTGCTGCTCGGTGGGCAGAAGCAAGACGAGATTTGCCGAGTTGCAGTTGCTTCTCGCTGATAGCAGAAGGGCGGAGGGGGAAGGAGCTCCCGATTGACAAGGTGTTGCTGCTGCTGCTTCTGTTGGTGCTAGTGCTGTTGCTGCTGCTACTGCAGAAGGCCCTTCTTGTTTGAAATGGCTGCGGAGGTATTATGGGCCAACTACCCGCTGCAGTAACAAAGGCACGAGCGAGCAGCTGCTGCCGTGCGGTGTGCATACATACAGCCGCAAGCAATAGCAACAGCAGCAGAAGGCGATGGAGACACAGCGACCTCTGCTGCAACTGGTAGCATCGCCTCCTTCAAGCATGCGAGTACCTGGATTCGCATCTACTCGCCAGCCGCAGTGAGCCTATTCAAGCTCACTGCCGCAGAACAGCTATCCTATACACAGAAAAAGCGGTGGTATTCGGCCAACACTGCAAAAAGCTATGCAAAAAATGGAGCAGTGCCGGACACGCAACGCCACCCGGCTGCCTGAGTGGAAGAAACAGAGAATTAGACACCGCGTAAAGAATACGCACCGCGAACTCTACATAACAAACATTGCGCATTGTTTGCGCTACCGGATAGTCCTGCTCTGGTCAATTCCATGTCAGCGTCAGCGCAAACTGTCTCGGAATATAAGCGTTTCCTCTTGCCAGAAATGCTTACTAAGAAATGTCAAGGGGAGAGAGAAGTTCGCCAGTACACAGCGGGTTAAGACGCATTATTGAAGCTTACGTAGAATTCTGCACTCAAAGCCAATACTTATACAGGCCTGTCGCAATATCGACACTACTTCATTAAGTAGGAAGGGTATATCAGGAATGAGAACAGCTGTGCGTTGGCGCCGCTCGAGTTTTCAGAAGTCTGTTCTAACCCTGCGCTGAATCATGGAGATCAATGCGCGCCTTTTCCATTGCCCCTTTAAGTTGAATTTCTCTTTCTGCTTCAACCAGACTCCAGATTTTCAAGCATGTCTGCAGCATTGTAGCTGTATATTCAGGTATCGCGTCAAAATCTCGGCTTCCCCTTGCTAGTGCCTTTTCAGAGTCGAATCGCGATTTCAGTTCCCCTAACTCACTCCACTGCTGTGACCCGCGCCGGAATGGATAAATCAATGCAGCGTTCACCACACTCTCATACGCCTCAAATTCCTTTACTAATCTGCTATAATATCGCATTAGCATTGAGGGGCCCCCTGCCTCTGCTTTCTTCCTTGCCGTCTCCACCCTCAGGTTTGTTTTCTTATCCAGTGCACTGGATCCAAATCCCTCTTTATCGAGTTTGTACTTTGCCCCCTTCTTCGCCTTCTCGAGCATATCTTTCACCTTCATCCACTGATCCTTCGAAAAGGCTTCGATGTCGCGCCACTGCTCGGGAAAATGCTTCTTCACATCACTTGCCATCGCGCTGTCAAAGCAAAACGCACTCTCTGCTTGCTCAGCAGTACCGGCTTTTTTCTTAGTTGTCAGCTTTTGCAACAACGCCTTGCCGCCAAATCCTCCGGGTCCCTCTTCATATTTTCCGCTAATCTCTGAGTTCACAGTCTGCAAGTAACGCCAGCATTCTTCGCCTTCGTCGACGGCAGTGTCAGCAATTTTCGCCATCGCCTCAGCCGCAGCGGTGGCCTCTTCCTTGGTGAGCGGCTGGCGCTCCAGAGCTGCACGCAACTTGTTCTTCTGCACATCCAATATGCCTTCGAGCTTTTGGTTGAACATCCTCGCGCGTTCATACATAGTGGCAACAGTGTCGAAGCTTGTTGCCTTTTCCATAGCTTGCACATCCTCATGCTGCCGAATAAACATACCCCTGATGATTTGCATATCTGCGGCTGTTATTCCAGAAGCTGACTGACCCGGAGGTGCTTGACGGCTCTGTGAGAATAGTACATTAAGTTCCTGAACCAAATTTGCATCCACCTCGAGCGGTATCCGGCCGAGCTGAAGCATCCCCTTCATCCACCTCTTCTGCATCTCTAGAATATCTCTGTTCAATGCGGCATCCAGTTCAGCCAAGCGCTGCAAGGTTTTCATCCTGAAGTTCAGCGCAGCAACGGCTGCGTAAATATCGACGAACTCATCTGCTTCGCACTCATCTATGAATTGTGCTGACCTCAAGATACTAAGCTGCGTGTCATTCTCCTGTTTCACAGTTACAGCGGTATTTTCCACCGAAGACAGCGTCGCTACAGACAACTTAATTGGAACAGCATCCAAGCTCTTCTGCAGAGGATACCGCAAACGATCGACATTCGTAAAAGAAAAACTCTTGGAGCAGTACTCATACACTTGCTCACCGTAGGACCGTGCCAGATCTGCCAACTGCAATAGATCAGTGCGGGATCCTTCAATGGATGTGTTTATTGCATGGATGACCGTATTTCGGATGCCTGGAAGGTTTGGGTCTCTGCGGGATCTTGCCAAATCGTACTCCCTTTCTGCCTTTTCAGCTGCGGCCGCTTTTATCTTCAATGCATTGAGAATTGATT